GAAATATGCAAAAAATATGAAAAATATAGGCAAAAATATGCAAAATATGTGCAAATATGAGCAACATATTTCACATATGCAATCATTTTAATCAAAAAAAAAAAAAAAAAAAAATCAGGGTAGTTTTCGAATTTGTGTGCTTTTGGATCAACTGTATGCGTTTCATGGATCAACTGTTAGATTTTTGGGGCATTATGAAAAATTTGCTAAATATATGTATAAAACATGCAAACATATATAACCGTTATATGGCGATATACTAAAACGTGGACCGATATATCCCATTTCCAATACCAAACATCCTAGGAGTAATAATAATATATGTGCAAAATTTCAAAGTTCTATCTTTAATATTGCGACCTAGCATACCGTGCATATATTTTGCATATTTTTGCATATTTTGCATATTTTTGCATATTTTGCATATGTTTGCATATTTTGCATATGTTTGCATATTTTGCATATTTTTTGCATATTTTGCATATATTTTGCATATTTTTGCATATTTTGCATATTTTTGCATATTTTGCATATGTTTGCATATTTTGCATATTTTTGCATATTTTGCATATTTTGCATATATTTTGCATATTTTGCATATTTTGCATATTTTTGCATATTTTGCATATTTTTGCATATTTTGCATATCGACAATGCATGTTTTGTATATTTTTTGCATATATTTATCGCATATCGACCTAGCATACCGTGCATATTTTTTGCATATTTTGCATATTTTTGCATATTTTGCATATTTTTTGCATATTTTGCATATTTTTTGCATATTTTGCATATTTTTTGCATATTTTGCATATTTTTTGCATATTTTGCATATTTTATGCATATATTTTGCATATTTTTTGCATATATTTTGCATATTTTTTGCATATTTTTTGCATATTTTTGACATGACCCCAAATATCGATCAATTAAAGCATGAAACGCCTAAATACAAAATTTGAGTCCAATCGGATAAAGCATAAAAAATATGCAAAAATCCGAGGTCTAGTTATAACCGTACATCATTGTAGTATTATTTGATCTTTGTATATCCACATTTTTCCTAGGATGTATCTGATACCTCTTGTTGAAGCAAACATTCTTGAATGTGTTCCCCTCTCCAAAGAAAATACAACATAAACATAGTCTTTTAATTTAATAATTTATTCGGTTGTGGCATTTATTGGTATGATAACAGGAAGTTTTTAAAACAAAACTGGGGCAGCGCCATAAGTCAATGGAGCAGAGTAAGCGAAGGGAGCAGCGTATTTGGCAACAACGGGGGCAGTGTAGGCAGCAGCGACTGGAGTAGCGAAAGTCTTGGCAACAATGGGGGCAGCAACAGTTTTGGCTACAACAGGAGCGGCAACGGGAGCAACAACTGGAGCAGTGGCAATACCATTGTAGTTGCGGGCAACATATTGGCTACTGGTGGCGGTGTGTTTTTCGGTAATATCAAAACAGTTAGCATGTGGTTGTTTGAAACGATTGTTCTTTAAAATGTCAATGAAATACTAAATAAACATACACAACATTTTTATCATTTGATGTGGATAACTAGATCGTGTTTGGTGGATATAAATTGTTTAGTAAATTTGCGTTTCAGTATCAGAAGTTCTTCATCTATTCGAGTAAAATCATTACCAAACTCTAGAAAACCAAAATGTTCAAATTTGTCGTTGTCCTATTCGCCATCATTGCCTGCGCTGCTGCCAAGCCTGGTTTTGTTACCCCATTGGCCTACACCGCACCTGCTGCCGTGGTTGCTGCTGCCCCAGCTCCATTTGTCACCGCCACCAGTAACCAATATATTGCCCGTAACTACAATGGTATTGCCACTGCTCCAGTTGTTGCTCCCGTTGCCGCTCCTGTTGTAGCCAAAACTGTTGCTGCTCCAATTGTTACCAAGACTTTCGCTGCTCCAGTTGCTGCTGCCTACACTGCTCCCGTCGTTGCCAAATACGCTGCCACCTATGCTGCTCCTTTGACTTATGGCGCTGCCCCAGTTTTGTTTTAAAAACTTGCTGTTAACATACCAATAAATGCCACAACCAAATAAATTATTAAATTAAAAAAATATGTTAAGTTTATTTCCTTTGGAGGGGGGCACAACCTAGAACGCTGCCTCACCAAGAGTGTGGGATTGTCAGGAGTTGTATTCACTGAAAATAAAAAGTTTAATACACAAAAAAGCTAAACTTTGTGTACATGAAACAGGTGATATTATTAAGTATATTTGGTACAGATTATATGTGTATGAAATCATACTATACTAATATTTGGAAGCTATATTTATATGGAGGTGATCCAAATTAAAATTGATAAAATATATTATAAACCAGTAAGCGGAGCAGTATAGTCGGACGGGGCCGATCATATGATACCCTACACTACTTCCATGTAAATCTAACTTTATGTGGTTCTGTATTCTGAGCTTGGGCAATATTTCGCGATATTTGAACTATCTGGACCAACTAGAGGCCGACAATTATTACTAATGTTCAATACAGCTCTTCTAATTACTTGTTCAGATTTCCTTCCCTTGCGTTGTGATGTTCTTATTTCCATTGGAGCCTATAGATCGACTAGAAAAAACACAAATAATTAAGTTTTCGGTCCACTTCATCACAATTTTCAAAGCGATCAGCGCTATATTTCCGCCCTCTAGTGTGGTATTGTTTACTAAATAATGTCTGAATACGTAAGCACCTGTAAATATTTAAGTGTTACTCCCACATCTGAGTACATACGACCATATAATTGGTATCAATTTAAAGGTCAACCACTCCTCTTGAACACACTATAAACTTCTCGGGTCTTGGTCCTTCAGGGGCAAATATATACGCCATAGAATACAAATTTTGTCATTTTTCACACAAAAGTCAGGGTTCATTTGACCCGCTAAATATTGACCGATCTTTATCAAAACAGACATGCTTATTCTTTGGCCCGTCCCCTTCTCCATGCAAAAATTCGCGGTGTTTGGGCCATAATTGCGGCCTCAGGAGCGACAAGAAAAACTGACAAAAATAAAGTTTTTGGTCCATTTCATCCCCTAAACATTAACCGATCTTTTCCAAAAACAATAGGGGTCTTCATTGGCCAGAACCCATTCTACATGCAAAAATTCGTGAAGATTGGTCCATAACTGTGGCCTCTATCGTGTTTACAAATTATAATGGACAGACGGACGGACGGACACACATGTCTAGATCGACTCAGCTAGTCAAGATATGAAGATCGGTATACTTAAAGGTGGGTCTAGGATCAATATTTCGCGGCGTTACAAACTTTTGGAGCTGCATAAAGCTATAATATCCTGACAACATAGTTGTGTAGAGTATAAAAATACTGAATAATAGAAAATATCTTACACTAATGGTAAAAGTGTTTTTCCTCTAGGAGGTGCTATTTTGGTATTTAAGGGGACCCCCCATTCTCGTTGTCAAAATTTTCTTCAATTTAGTTCGAATCTACTCTAATTCAAGAATTCCTTACAAAATTTCAAGTGAAAATCTCAAGAACTCTTGAAGATATAGCCGATGTATTGTGTCAGCATCAAGTGATTGCATCTAATTTTTAAACTCATTTTTCTCGAAAATGTGTGTTTACGAATGGCGGGCACGATAACTCAAAAATTAATAATCCAATCTGTTCCAAGTGTAGCTATCGTATGAACTAGAATAAAGCCAATCGGTGAAGATCTTCCTTATTTGTTAACTGGTTAACTAGATTGCCGTAAAAAATGGCGAATTTCAAAAAAAATATAAGGTCCGCCATCTTGTTAATTTTTGAGTGATGTTAATAATCCTAGTTCATACGAGAACCACACATGAACTCTTTCTAACACCGTTGGAATTTTCGGATTCCGATGTTCCTGTAAGGAGTTGTCATGGTCGCCGTCAAAAATAAGGACTTTTATTTAACCAACAAAACAACAACTATATTTAGTTAATTATTTTTCTTATCTTTTAAATCTTCAAATATATATGTGTGAGGGGCGGGTAAGAGTGGCATGGGAACGAACGATTTAAAAAAAAATGAAGTTACAAACCTTAACATGCATTGGTATTAATTTACCAGCCCATTGAAAAACTTGAAAATATAAAATCGTGAATGGGGTGGGGGTGTTCCCTTCAAGAAATATTTAAAGAAAAATATGTACGAAATTCCAAAATTACCGAATAATATAGGGTATCGTTATATAGAGGCTAACCTGCAACTTGAGTAGATATTAATAATTTTTAGAAAAAAGATATACTATACTATGATACCCAAAATACCCTGTTACATTTAATTCTGTTTGAAAAACGTGTCCAAAATCTCAAAAATCTTGGGTCTTGGGTGAATATTTTTGGAGGAATGACAAATTTAATAGAAATCCATTATTTTATATAAACTATAGGACTTTATTTAGCATGCTTCGGAATGTCCGATTTGGGCCAATTATGCGCCGTCTTTGACATTTCAAAGGTAACTTCATAATGTCTCTCTCATAGAAATCCTGCTCTCTATTTTCAAAAAACTCCAGTAGTTGATTCTCAAAATCCTCTCTTGATACCAACTTATATATATATATATATATATATATATATGGCGGTGAAGGGAATCTGAACAAGTAATTAGTAGGGCTGTACTGAATATTAGTAATGTTTGACCTCCAGACGGTCAAGAGGGTGCAACTTCCATGAAATATTGCCCAGGCTCGAAATAAAAATACACAAAAAGATAGAGTTCCGTGGTAGTTGTCAGTAAGATAGAAACTGTGTCAGATCAGGAGCTGATGTGATTATTTTAACTGAACCTTATATATCCTAAGACCCAAGTCTTTATACAAAATATGGTTACAAAAACGACGCAGATTAGAAAACAATAGTTTCAATTAACTCTTCTAAAAATTCTTCTAAAATTCAAAAATTTTTTATATATAAAAACTCAAATGTTCGATTTAAGTAAATAATTTATTTGGTCAAAGCACGGTGGTTATAAGCTACAAGTTTTTACAACAAAACTGGAGCTGGAGCAGCAGCATAGTTCAATGGAGCAGAGTAAGCAAATGGAGCAGAGTAAGCGAATGGAGCAGCATAAGTAGCGGCGTATTTGGCAACAACTGGGGCAGTATAGGCGGCAGCAACAGGTGTGGTGTAGGCAGCAGCTACTGGAGCAGCGAAGGTCTTGGCAACAATGGAAGCAGCAACAGTTTTGGCAACAACAGGGGTAGCAACGGGAGCAACAACTGGAGCAGTAGCAATACCATTGTAGTTACGGGCAACATATTGGCTACTGGTGGCGGTGACAAATGGAGCTGGGGCAGTAGCAACCACGGCAGCGGGTGCGGTGTAGGACAAAGGAGTAACCAAACCAGGCTTGGCAGCAGCACAAGCAATGACGGCGAAGATGACAACGGCCTAAAAGAAAATAATGGATATTTAATATTTTTTAATAAATATTTTGGGCATAAGTTCGACTTACGAATTTGAACATTTTGCTTTGAAAGTTTTTTTTTTTGAAATGTGTTTACTCTGCTAAAAGGAGAACAACTGATATTGAATTAAGAATACATTCAACTTTATATAATAAATAAATCTGTGTCATTGAATTGCTTTTGAATAGGTTAGCATAAATACTATCATACACGTATGAAGTGAATCATTAATGTTTTTGATTCAATTAAAATTCGTAACACACGATAGTGTGTTTGTATGAAAATATATATACATGAGTATACAATGTATACTATATCCCAGTAGAAAATACTCTCTTGCGTGACAATTTCGTTAACGAATCGTTGACGAAATATATGGAATTGTCATTCATGACTAAAAACATGATATGTCGTCGAAAATGTCGTTCTTTTCGAAAAATTAAAACAAAACAAAAATAGTCTGAATCGAGTGTACTATGAAATATTGACAGAAACGAAGAGAAAAATGTTTCTGAAAATATATACATATAAGAAATTTGAGATAAAGAAGACGTGCTATCTTGGTTAAAATAGGTAAGTTTAAAAGAATATATAACTATTTATATCATTATTTAAATGCATTGTTTTACTCTTAGGATGGGGCAAATAAATGGCAATTGGTGAAATATTGTAAGTAATATCTGAAAGATGTTTCATATTCCAATGCATTTTAATTTTGTTGTTTCTTTACAGATCCTGTTAAAAAGGAGATAATCATTACGCCAAGTAATATAAGTACTCAAAATTTCATACTTCTTGCTTCAGCCGATTCATCTGGGCGATGATCTCACAGTCACTCACTTATAACTTAGCTCCTTTATATATTAAGGTTATATACGGCATTCTCGAATTAATTTATTACCGAGCAATGACCCTTAAACCGGGGTCAATGACCTTTAATCCGGATTAAGCCTTAATCCCCTCAATGATCCTTAATCCTGAGTCAATGACCTTTAATCCGGGGTTAATGACCCTTAATCTCCTCAGTGACCCTTAATCCGGGGTCAATTACCCTTAATCCGGATTAAGCCTTAATCCTCTCAATAACTTTTAATCCGGGGTCAATGACCCAGGACCCCTCAGTGACCCTTAATCCCCTCAATGACCCTTAATCCGGGGTCAATTACCCTTAATCCGGATTAAGCCTTAATCCCCTCAGTCATCCTTAATCCGGGTCAATGACTTTTAATCCGGGGTCAATGACCCTTAATCCCCTCAGTGACCTTTAATCCGGGGACCGGATTAAGCCTTAATCCCCTCAGTGACCCTTAATCCGGGGTCAATGACCTTCAATCCGGGGTCAATGACCCTTAATCCGGATTAAGCCTTAATGACCTCAGTGACCCTTACCGGGGTCAATGACCCTTAATCCCCTCAGTGACCCTTAATCCGGGGTCAATTACCCTTAATACGGATTAAGCCTTAATCCCCTCAATGTCTTTTAATCCGGGGTCAATGACCCAGGACCCCTCAGTGACCCTTAATCCCCTCAGTGACCCTTAATCCGGATTAAGCCTTCATCCCCTCAGTCACCCTTAATCCGGGGTCAATGACTTTTAATCCGGGGTCAATGACCCTTAATCCCCTCATTGACCCCGGATTAAAGGTCATTGACCCCGGATTAGGGGTCACTGAGGAGATTAAAGCTTAATCCGGATTAAGGGTCATTGACCCCGGATTAAGGCCATTGCGGCGATTAAGGGTCATTGAGGGGATTAAGGCTTAATCCGGATTAAACGTCATAGACCCCGGATTAAGGGTCATTGCTTGTTAATAAATTAAATCGAGAATGCCTTATATAACCTTAATATATAAAGGTGCTTAGTGATAAGCGAGTGAGTGACTGACATCGCCCAGACGAAACGGCTAAAGCTAGAAGCATGAAATTTTGAGTACTTATGTGTATGAGAAGTACTAAATTTGGTACTATTTAAATTTATTTAAGCATATAGAGATGGAGTCCTGAAAATATGAATTACGATTACTTTTGGAGTAGAGGACTAAAAGTACAAAATTTGATACAAGTTGGATTTAGGTGTACAGATAGAACTGGAGTCTTGAAATTAGGAATTTAAATGACTGTTGAAGTGTAGGATTGAGGAGTTCAGGAAATTCGTACTTATGGGTACGAAACTACTAAATGTTAATAAATTTAGTACAATTTGGATTTTGGGTGAACGGATAGAGCTGAAAACCTGAAATTAGGAATTAAAATTACTGTTGAGGATTGAGCTATAGGGATAGACCCAGTAGAAAATACTCTCTAGCGTGACAATTTCATTGACGAAACGTTGACGAAATTTATGGAATTGTCATTCATGACTAAACACATGATATGTCGTCGAAAATGTCGTTCTTCTCGAAATATGAAAACAAAACAAAAATAGTCTGAATCAAGTGTACTATGAAATATTGACAGAAACGAAGAGAAAAATGTTTCTGAAAAAATATATGTATGTATAAGAAATTTAGGTTAAATTTAAATACCCAGTAGAAAGTGTCTTGCAGACAACATTAACGAATCGGGCAAGACAATGGCAATTCCTTGAAGACACTTTGCAGACAACAATGTGAGATCCTTGACGAAATTTCCACACAAGTGTCGCAGTATTCATGCAAGACAACTTGGGCGACAAGGTAAGCGAAGTTGTCGTTGACGACAACTTCGGGACAAAACTCCCTACTTTTCGTTGACGGCTATCATCGACTATGTCGTTCACACAGTCGTTGACGACTGAATACCCATTGTCATCAATCATACCCCATTAAAAATTAAAATAAAAATATACATATGTATACATTTTCAATTTATATTTTTATAGCATGTAATTTATTATATAACAAGAATTATACATTGCATTTACGTTTATAATAATATAAATAAACACATTGCATGATAAGTTGTCGAGATAATTTTCTCCATTTTAACATCATCTGTAGAGAAACAACAACATTAAAACGCTTTAAAATATGAAACATCTTTCAGATATTACTTACAATATTTCACCAATTGTCATTTATTTGCCCCATCCTAAGAGTAAAAGAAAGCAATTAACTTACCTATTTCAACCGAGATTCTTAATTCTTATATATTTAAATTTAACCTAAATTTCTTATACATATTTTTTCAGAAACATTTTTCTCTTCGTTTCTGTCAATATTTCATAGTACACTTGATTCAGACTATTTTTGTTTTGTTTTCATATTTCGAGAAGAACGACATTTTCGACGACATATCATGTGTTTAGTCATGAATGACAATTCCATAAATTTCGTCAACGTTTCGTCAATGAAATTGTCACGCTAGAGAGTATTTTCTACTGGGTATATACGAATTAAGAATCTCGGTTGAAATAGGTAAGTTAATTGCTTTCTTTTACTCTTAGGATGGGGCAAATAAATGACAATTGGTGAAATATTGTAAGTAATATCTGAAAGATGTTTCATATTTTAAAGCGTTTTAATGTTGTTGTTTCTCTACAGATGATGTTAAAATGGAGAAAATTATCTCGACAACTTATCATGCAATGTGTTTATTTATATTATTATAAACGTAAATGCAATGTATAATTCTTGTTATATAATAAATTACATGCTATAAAAATATAAATGGAAAATGTATATGTATGTATATTTTTATTTTAATTTTTAATGGGGTATGATTGATGACAATGGGTATTCAGTCGTCAACGACTGTGTGAACGACATAGTCGATGATAGCCGTCAACGAAAAGTAGGGAGTTTTGTCCCGAAGTTGTCGTCAACGACAACTTCGCTTACCTTGTCGCCCAAGTTGTCTTGCATGAATACTGCGACACTTGTGTGGAAATTTCGTCAAGGATCTCACATTGTTGTCTGCAAAGTGTCTTCAAGGAATTGCCATTGTCTTGCCCGATTCGTTAATGTTGTCTGCAAGACACTTTCTACTGGGATATGGCATAAGAAATGGAAATTGTACTGATTTAGATTTTAACGGTAAAGTAAATGAAACATAAAGTAATAAAATTTCGAATTGAGTCAGGTCACTAGAGGAAATATAAAATAATTATTATTGTATATGAAATACCATGTATAATAAAGGTGGGAGTAGAATGTGTATATATAAATTGATATTATATATGGTCTTATGTCCTATCCATAAGACCATATATTATATATGGTTTCCTATCCATAAGACCATATATAACTTAACATGTTATGTTAAGTAAACCTTAGTGGTACGTCAAAGTGTCTCTGAGGATTGAGGTACCGAAAAAGTACGTTAAATTTATTTATAGAGGTCAGAGATTTTAAGAATATCAATACTTTTCAATTTAGTCCAAAAGTAGGTGTCTGAACCGATTTGAACAAAAGGAGTGGACACATTTGGACGATTCTCAAAATTTCATGTTAACCTGACAATTTATGGGTCTTTGGTGTAGAAAATATCAAAGCTATATCTAAATCTGAAATTGAATTTTCAAAATATCTATAGGATTTGAGCTTGGTCTTTGAAACTTTATTTCATATTATTCGGATAATAAATACGGTCATGCCTTTGTTTCATATAAGACTTACAAAATTTCAAAATTTAAACCCTTTGCGTGGGAACTACTCGAAGGTGTGGACAAATTTGGAACATTTTCAGCACAGTTTTGCCCAATTTGTGCGTTTGAAAAGTAAATATTACGGTATGTAGAGGATGGATCAAACCGGACATTCCATTCGCTTAATATTGGATTTAGAAGTACAGTATTTTTCGGTTAATTGACCCTACGATTTATTTGTTTCCCCGCTTAATTGATCCACATGATGAAACAAAAAAATATTGCATACGAAAACACATATTGCATACGGATAATTAAACCCTGTTATTTGATTTCCCGTTTAATTGGTTCCAAATTCATGTCATCAGAAATAAATTTCCTCATATATTTCACCGGTTAATTGCCTTATTATTGAAAAATAATCTGGCATTTTCATAGACCCATTGTTCATTTTGAGAATATGCAAAGAATCACTTTCTGAGCCCATTTATGCA